ATAGCAGAGAAGTTCTACATACATGAATGATTCATTTTGAGCTAAGATCTCAATGCACATTGACAATAAAAGAGTAAATTATTTTCATATCGATAGGTAAGAAAATAAAATGCGTACTGATCGTTCTTAATAATGAATGCATGAAATGCAAAACTAATTACTTACGAATTGAACAAGAATATTCCTATGAAAGGTTTTAAAACTAATGTGCTAGTAGACGATATACTGTCTGAAGATCAAAGACACGATAAATTTTAATATTTTACATTAAGATACAGTTGTTTTATGTACAGAGACCGGAGAAGGTTCCTAAGTGCCCGGATACCTCCAATAGAGTTTTGTTCTTATTAAGAATATTATTTGCAGGCGATATAAACAATGATTTGAGGAGTTCATTGCAATGTGATAGAGAATTCCATTTGTCAATAAATATCAATTGAATTATTTCAGTAAAACGTATCTTTAACAGACTCGAATATAAGAATAGTTTTGCAGGAAATATTTACAATAAATTTATTCTTTAATAAATCACATTGTAGATTGTTATTCAATCGAAGCTTTTTTTTCTATTATAAAGTTTTATTTATTGTGTAGAGTATTGTCAGTGAGAAAATTCTATTGATTGAAAATCAAAATAAATATTTCATTTTTGTTTCTATTTTATAAATAAAAGATGAATTCAGGTTCATGGCTTATTTTACTTTAAACAATTAAGTAGAAATCAGGGAGAAAACAGTCACACCTCTATAGACATCAGTAAAAAGTAAATGCATTTTTAAGTATGTCAGAGAAATTCAAAAATAATCACATATCTTGTGTATTGCTTTTATCAAAGTCCTGATTATGCCTTTGGATGACCGGAAACTCGTGAAACAAAAAAGATTGAATGAGACAAAGGAGTTGTAAGGATTTCTATACAAGGAAGTGATGTTCTTGGGTGACATTCAAAGCGTTCCTATCAAATTATAAAAAATGACAACGAGTGAATGTTCAAGTTCTTCACTTATAGATGAATTTTTTAGTAGAAAATCAGAAATTTCAGATAAAGAATCAATATATCAGATACTTCAGAAAGTTTCACACCCGTGATCTATATCAACGAATGTTAATTTATTAGTCTGCAATGTGTCCACAAATCATTATTAATTTTTACACTAAATTCTAATACATACGAGCAATGACAATGACTCTTCGATCAAAGTTTTTTTTTCTGTCGATAAGAGAAAAAATGCTCTGACACCGTCACGATTGTTTATAGAGACAAAAATTTTAACTCTATGATAAATGTCCGCGAATAAAGGCGAAAATTTTCTCATCAAAGAAAAATATTTCGGAAGAACAACGAAATTTTTATGAAACTGATGACATCAAAAAGAACCCTTAGTAAAGTTTAAAATTTTGGAACAGCTCGTTGAACTTTCTACAAGTTCAAAAACATCGGCCAAATATTATTGCGGTTGTCGATTCGATTGCAAACCTACGCGAGAATTGAGGATTTAAATATGACGTAGATATGGAAGAATCAAGTGTGAATGTGGTGATTATGTTGACTAGAGTGTACATATCCATACTCATCAGCGAAGAACATTTTAAATACAAATAATCTAAATTGCCTCGATCAAAAAGGTTTATTCTTTTGCTCTGAAGAACTGTTACACTATTCATTATTTAAAATGATCAAATTTCTCTTCTAACTTTTTACATGTTTCAAAGACGACAGCATTTTTTTCTGTGTATCAATATGCGAGTGAAAAATGCTGAACAGTTCGACTATGTCTAAGTGTGAATGAGAGATATTTTTAAAAAAATAAGTCGCACCCTTGATAACTTTGTATGCAAGATAAAGGTTATCATGACCTTCTGATAAGATTTCATTATTTTGTTTCAAGAATACTCTGATCTGCGATTAAATCATGATCATTTCGGATAATCAATCATGTCATTGAACTGCTTATGTCAAGCTAAACTTTATTATTCTTTCTGTGCTTGAAATTTATGATACATATTAATTCTGTTGTTCCACATGTATCTATACTATATTATGCATTATACAGAAGCGTTACATGATTGATTACAGTTTTCATTCGTTCTAGTTTTTTTCAATTCACCACTCACATAGAGATAAAATATTCATAGAGAAAAAGAAGAAAAAACCCAAAGAGTGAATAATGACATAGCATTGTAACATCATTTTTCATTTTCAAAATAGTGAGTCGTTTACGTTATTTAGAGATTGTACAAACTAACTTTTCAGATCATCAGTAGTTCAATTCGATATTAATTCACCATTGTATGTTTTCTACGAATAATCGTCATGTTAGTTATTAATATTTTCCATTTACTTCACATCACATCATTTATAAGTTTATATTGAGTAAACTCTTCAAATTAAAACCTATATATGAAATAGAAAACGCTACACTTAACAGTTTTTTTAAATTCATATTCATAACTAACAAGTGCAGAATGAATAAGGCTCATTAGGATCACTATTACATTTCATACTGGCCATCAAAGAAAAATAACAGAATTGAGATTTATATCGGCTGATATAAGTATATAACTGTGACTTTTTATGTTGTTATACATTAGAAAAAGGATTAAGGCCATATTGAATTTCGACGATCTAAGTAAAACTGTAATTATGACATAATATATTTGAAAGTCGAGTCAGATGATTGTGATTTTTCTGTGAAAAATTTCAATGACGATCAAAACTATCGTTGCTCTTAGTTGAAGACTCAAAGTGTATTAAGGTCAATGTACACTGAGATCAGGTTAATCTTACTTTAGTCTTCGAATTTATCAGGTACCATGTCGCTTTCCATGTAAATCTAATTTTTGCATCGACATGCACACCCACACTCAATTTGATAGTATTCTGTTATCGGATGTGTACGTACGATAGCGACGCTTCTCTATGCATTTTTATTGTCTGCTATGCATTTGATCTACAGCAGAGAGGCCTGCCGTACACTCTCATTGGTGCTTTAATTTCTTAGTGTAGATGATCATTGACTTAAAAGAAAGTTAATTTTGATCAATTTTCACTCTATCTGAAACCTTAAAGTTTATCTGTTTTATTTATAGTTTCAATAATCAGCCCGTTCATACTTGACTGCTTATTTTTCTTTGACAAACAGGAGTATAGCTTATCACTCTTCCACATTGTAAACAATTTTTATTTTCTTTTGCTTTTTCTTTCCGTCCATCCAGTACACAGAGAGAGGAAAAAAGGATTTATTACTTTATCTTTCTTCTCATTATTTATTTACTTTTTCGCTTAGATTCCAATTGCGTTGTGTTTCATTCGTAGAGTGATTGCTTAACTGAGTAAGACACTAAACTTTTAATTTATACTGAGAAATACTTAGGATTTAACCAAAAGTTCTGATAACGGTGTTACTTATCCGTACAGTAAGCTTTAAAATGTTTTCTTTCTATATATTCTGATGAAGAAAAGCATGCTGTATTTTTGCATGGTATTTGATCATACTTGAGGATGTGGATGTGGGTGCGCGCAGAGAGAGGGAAATACCCACACCCACACTCAAGTTAATTATCATGGTATTGGTTGAAGTATGATAAAATACGATAGAAAAAAGAGCATTCTTTTCTCTATCAGAATATGTAGAAAGAAAGTTTCTTAAAGCTGGCTATACGGCTAAGTGGCACCGTTATCTGAACTTTTGGTTGACCGTAAGTATGAATAGGTTCACTAGATGTAATGTCCATCCTTCGTACATGTAAGACTAAATATGTCCTAATTAAAAGAGATGTGTCGCAGTTCCGTAAATTCTGAACTCTTGAAAACTTCGCGAAACCTATGGAATTCATGAAAGCCAACGGACCAGTGACGCCCAAAAAAACGTTTAAATGTTTAGCAGCGAGCCAATCTTGACTTTCGGGTGTGGGAAAGACCTACACCCACACCGCATGTGTAATAAGATTATTATATCTCTAGACAATGAAGGGAAATGCAGTTAAAAGTTTGGGTGGTGTGGGGATCAGACACTCTACTAGGTTCACGAATTTCCAGTTCAATCGAAAGTCATATCTAGATGCAAAATGAAGATAAAGATGAGAAACGATCGCAAATAATGCCAAGACACGATTAATTTGTATACATTAGTTTCATCAATTTCCAATCATTTTAGTGCCAAATATAGAAAACATTGATGGGCATTTTTTGTGACAGTTTTACATCATTATAAATATTTAGAATTGAAGGCATTTCAATATCATTTTATTGCTTTTTTCTTGCCTGGGATGTATTGAACTTTGTATGAATAGGACCAGATCATTTTGCAATAACTAAACGCATTTAATTTCTGTTGGATTATTTATTGACGTATTAGTCATCATCCACCATGAAAAAAATACTAAAGCTTTATTGTAAAATTTCGTGTCGCTCATCAAGTTGTCGTGTTTATAGTAAATTCTTCAGAAAATGTCACTGAACCTAGGTAGAGAACATGAAATCTATTGCAGTAGTTAGTTTTACATGATCACACGATATGATCTAATTTAGACAATAGTCCTTTTGTTCGAAGAAAATTAACAATAAGTCGAACGATTACTGATGGACTACGATTAATTGATTGATTTGAGCTACTATGATGTGCCGTTCAGGACAAAGTGACAAATCTATTGAAGATCAGAAAAGGAGAAAGGCACTAGGCCTTTGACGAGGACTGAATGATCAGAGTGAAAAAATCAGTAAGGTTTTATCATTAGCAACTATCGCATCAAATTGGAGAAAAAGTTTTGCTTGTCTCGATTCTGTTGAAGTTTATTTTGTTATTTGATTCATCCTATCTGAAATTTGATGATAAAACCTTTCACTAAAATCAAGCAACCAGGAATTGTATCGTGACATATAAAAATAAAAAATATCTTATTAAAGTTAAAACTTCTAAATATGTAAGTTGATGTTTTTTTCATAGTATTTAGATACTAAACAGACAAACAATTTGTCTCTTTTAATACGAAACATAGAAATGTCAGCATCTGAAAAGTCATTTATTTCTGCAACAAAAATGGGTCTAAAGCTGACACATAAAATACTTCGTGTTAAAAATTCACGTAAATTAATTAAATTTTATGTCAATAATTTTGGAATGGAAGAAGTTAAAATTTCTACGCCATCACTTTCATATAAAGTCAGTGTTTTAGGATACACAACAAATTATGATAAAAATTTTAACAAAGCTCCAGATACATTGCCTTCACCGACATTACTTGAATTTCATTATAATGATTCATCAACGATTACTTCATCATTTGTTAATTGTGGTGCTTCGAAAGTTTATTGGAAGATTGGTATAACATTACATGATGTTGGTTATGCACGAAAAATTTTACAATCTAAACAAATGAATGTAATTGATGCATCACAATTTGAAGACATCGGGGTGTGGGTGTGGGTGTGGGTGTGGGTGGGTGTGGGGTGTGGGTGTGGGTGTGGGTGTGGGTGGGGTGTGGGTGCGCGGCTGGGTGTGGGTGTGGGCGTGGGTGGCGGGCGCGGGCGTCCGAGCACGCCCCGCTTC